TCACTCTAGTTAAGAGCTATGCCTGGATCTGCTCCCAAAGACACTGTGAACAACAGAATAGACCCATCCTCTCTCCTCCTCTTTGTCCCTCCTCTTTCCCCTCTTCCCATGGCTCTGCTGACTCTCCAGTCACCACGGGAAACAGCTCCCACTCCTCCCCGCCCACATTCTGGAGGTTCCCCGCCCTCTCCCCAGATAGCTCTGGCTTTTGCCTCTGCTTCCACATCTCCCTTCCGGTCCCTCACTTGGGGCCTCCTAGCTTGTCTCCGTCCATGACTACATTTGAGGAACCCACATCTCCACATCACTCCCCTTTCTCTCTCTAGCCTCTCATCACCACAAGATGAAGTCCAAACCCTTACTCTGACCCTGGCCCTTCCCAGCCCAGTCTTTGCCTGCCAAACCCACCCATTCAGTAAACAGCCTGGGTGCACTGTATGTTCTGGGCTATGTGCTTGATGCCGAGATATACAATCAATGGGACTCAACACACAGGAGAGAGGTGAGGAATGCAATCAGGGCAGTAGAAAATGAGTAGCCTCTGGAGACTTTTGACCAATCAGAGTAACTTCTGCAAGGCCACAGTTATACCTGTGGTTCCAGACCCAGGACTCCTTGCAGTACTCCACGCAGCTTGGCCAAAGCATTCTGCGCTGCCACCAAAAATTTAAAAAATGGAATAGAACAGAATAATGACCAAAAAAATAAAATAAAATAAAAAGACACAGGATAATCCATGATTAAAACACAAATTAAGTGTTAGAATGCAAAGCCCAAAAAAGTCACTACAGCAACACTAACAGTAAAATGAGATCGTACTGCAGTTAGAAGACAGAAATGCAGGGAGATGTTTCTCATGCTCAAGCACAGCCCTGGTGCTGGTCTTTGTTGGTCAGGTATCAGAATACCAAGTACAAATTAGACAGGCATGTTGGTCAGGTATCAGAATACCAAGTATAAATTAGACAGAGATGGTAACACCATACCTGTGCAGGGCAGACTCGCACTTACACCTTCTTACTCTATCATCTACAAATAGTAGAAGAAAGCTACTTTTAAAAATGAATAAGCTTAGCATGGAGGTGCTTGAATGTAATCCCAGCACTCGGGGAGGGCTGAGGCAGGAGAATCGCCACAAGCTTGAGGCCAGCTAGCCTGGGCTTCAGAGTTTAAGCCCAGCCTGGAATATGTAGCAAGACTCTATAGTTCACAAAAAAACCAAAGGACAACAAAAAACTAACGAACAAAACACTATGCTAAAAGCTTAAATTTATTTTAAATAAATAAACTTGGCCAATAAACTTAGTTTGCAATGCCATTAAATGATTTCTAAGAGAATTCCACAAGGAGATCGGGAGGATATCATACCAAAATTCAAACAGACAGAACAGTAGAGATAAAGGAGATCGTAAGAGATTTCTACTATATACTCTGTCCTCATGGTCTTTAGCCCAAGAGAGAGACTGTCTGTATTTATGGGACCATGTTACTAAATTGTGGGCTTTGGTCCTGTCAAGAAAGCAATTTAGTGGGTCATGATGGTCAATTACTTTTAAATGAAAGGTAGAAGACACCAGGCTACATTCCCTGAAGCAGGTGGAGGAAGGAATGCTATGTACTGCTGTCTGCACACAGGTATGTTATCAATTAAGAATGCAGCATTTCATATGGCAGGATGCTGCCGGGAAAGTCTGAAAGGCTTTCATTAGAAGACGTTCTATTTTTAACACATGCTAAGAACACTCAGCTACCAGTACTGACTCTTTTCATCATTCTGAGATCGGTGCTACAATTAAACAGAGAATGGCATGGAATATTAGAACTGGAAGGAGGAAGTAAATTAACAGATGTAAATAAATAAACTGATGACAAGAGACCAGAAAGCAAAAGAATGAGACAGATGAGGTCTGGCCTGCCTTGTGAAGCTTGCTGCTTACCGTAACTAAGGGCTCCCTGGACAGCCCCCCTCCTCACTGCAGCACCACATACACTGTAGCTGCTCAACAGTCGCTCAACCATCAAGCCCTAGAAGCATCTGTGTCCTTGTCTTGTAATGCCAGACACCCCCACTATGGCTATATCTTAAAGGCAGAATAAAATTCAGTCCACTTCTGTCTACCCAGCCTATGGGAGTGCCTGACATGCCACATGTGTTTGCTAAGTTTTGATTAGATTGAACTGAAGGCTACCAAAGAACAATTAAGAGCAAGCTCTAAACCCATTTGACACTTGAACCATTTGGCAAGAACAAACTGATTTCAGTGCATTGAGAGAAAGTTATTCTAATGAGAGAGAATAACAATTATAACAAAACTCTCAAATTACTAGGGAACAAATATCTTTGAACCTCTATGCCTCTTGGCCCAAAGGACAGGTTAACTCCAGGGACTTGTCACATCCTTTCAGAGAATAAGAACCTCTTTACAGGCTACATAACACATAGAGCTTGGACCTACTTTTGGATCTCAATCTGCCTCTCCCAGAAAACAGATGCTTCTCCAGTATGGACAGCCTGAGAACAACAACTCCTTGAATCCAACACTCTGAGCTATTTCAGAGGTCTAGTCCTTATCACTAATGAGCAGCCAGGATCCCTAGGCGGGCCCAAGAGAGGGGCTGAACTCAGAGAAGCAGCCAAGTGACTCAGTCAGTCAACAGTGAATCAAAGCTTGGTTGCTTCCCCACAAGAACCCAGGCTGAGAGAAATAAGAAGGTACAGGAAGTAGTCATTCCCTTTCTTTTCAGGTTGGTCTTGAATTTACTTTGTAGCTTAGACTGGCCTTGAACTCACAGTGATCCTCCTGCCTCAGCCTCCCAAGTGCTGGGATTACAGGTGTGCACTACCACGCCCAGCTCATTTGCTTTCTTTACCTCTCTTCAGTGCCTTCATACCTCTATGCTTAGGTGTCCAAAGAAATTCTTCATTGTCACGTGTTTTGGGCAGGCTGTGCAAAGCTGAGCTTTAATAGGAAAGGCAGATGTACTGGTCCCCAGGTTAGACTCACTGGAAAGGCTGGTGGAGAATTAGCAGCGGAGAAATGGATGAAAGATGCCTCACACCACAGGGTGAACCCATTCAAATTCAAGAGCTCACTCATGGTCTCAGCCAGGGAAACATCCTGATAGCGATTATCCATGAAAGCTCTCTTATTTGAGGGCATCCATGAGCATTAAAGGTAGAGAGAGCAGCCCTTTCCCTTCAGACACCCTACAGCACTGTCCTTACCGTTCCTGAGCCCTATTCCTCACATGCCATCAAGACTCACTTCTCTGTGATTAGGAGCCAAGGAGCAGAGCAACCGAGCTGCAGTGCTCAGTGGATATCTGGGAACCCAGAGCACTTCCACCAGCAAACATTTTGGCCTCCACCCCAATCCAGCCTGTATTACGGTTCTCTGACCACGTGCCATCAAACACTGATGGAACACAAATCACCCTGGGACTCACCTGAGCAAAATCAAGATGGCAAGTTAGCTGGGGACCAGGGAAGTGAGAAGAAAGTGGCCTAGCATCTACTCCAATGTCAAGACGGAACAAAGTTTGTGGTTAAAAAACAGCATCTCTGTCTCTGTGTGGTTCACATCTTAATTATATCTTTAAAGTAACTTAGTCTCTCCCTGCCTCAGTTTCCTGAGAACTCATTTGTCAAAGATAAAACACATGTCTGAATACCTAGCAGTATCTGGCAACACCAAGGCCCACGTGTGACGTTAATCATCATTAGGATTGTAGCATGGCAAAATGGGTCAGAGCACGGGTTTGAGACTCAGAGGGACTCCACAAACCTCACCAGCCAGGGGGAATTCCCTTACGCTCTCTGAACTATAACTGTCTCATCTTCAAAATGGGGATGACAAGGCCATTTCAGAGGATTCTTCAAGGATTAAGTGAGGGTTGATACAGAAAATTCTTGGCATCGAGTAGATGACCATAAATGACAGCTGCATTGCCGGTGATGGGCTGTCCCCTCAGAGACGCCCTGCCCCAGTGAAGAGCTGTTCTTGGGCTACTTCGGCAAGTCAGATGAATTTCTCAAGAGTCAACGATGCTCAGGGACCCGAATACGACCTGTCCCCAGTGTCCCTGCCTCTCCTCCCACATGCCCTACTACTGGGGCTGCTGTGCCAGTGTCCCTGCTCCCTGAGTGAGAAATTCTGCAGGCCGCGCCGACTCCTCCTTCTCCTCCACAGCAAATCTGTCACCAGAATCTGTCAAGTTCCGCTGATTCCACTTCTTCAGTATCTCAATTCCACCTGCTTCTCTCTATCTGCCTGCCGCAGTTTTACTTGAGGCCACCACCAACTTGTCTCCAGATAACTATCTCCAACCTGGCCTCCCTGCCCACCCCCATACAATTTCTAGGCTGCAACTACTCTCGTCTTCATAAAATACAGATTTGATCAAGCCTCTCCTTTGCTTTCAAGTCTTCATTGTTTCCCCAAATAAAAGGCAAGGGCCTTGTGTGGTGTCAGGTCGGCTCCCTCCCCAGCCTCATGTCTCACCGGGCTTTGTGCCCAGACCCTCCGAGCAACTGACGTTTCCAAATGAACCATGTCTCCGTCTCCCTCTGCAAGGATTGCACACGTGCTGTCCCCCCTTTGAATGCTCCTCTGCCCTTCTCCTTTCCAAGCCAACTTGTTCTCGGTTTTGGGATTCAGCTTGAGGGCCACTTCTTCCAGGAAGCCTTCCCACTGGAATGCTTGGTTAAATGCCCCATCTGCTGTCCTGCAAATGCTTGCTTGTTTGTTCATCTCCCCTAGTCTGGGTACCCATGAAGGACAAAACCCATGTTTGGCACTGTAATACTCCAACTGCCTCAACCTTAAACTAGCGCAAAATAGGCATTCAGATATTTGTTTATTGGACGGATGCGTAGAGACAGCGATTGGCCCTTTTCTGTGCAGGAATATGTGGTTGAAGGCAGCGGTAGCATTGAGCTGTCTAGCAGCTAAGTCAACTCTGGGTACCAGCAGGCATTCATTTGCCAGGGCATCACTTACCTAGGATGGCCACTACCTCATCATCTTGGATCACCTCCAAGGAGCCTGAGACCACGAAGCAGAGGCTGTCAACACTCTCTCCTGCATGGTAGATGAGATCCCCTGGGGCACAATGCACAGTCTGGAACTCCATCGCCAGGGCCCGCAGGCAGCCATCACTGGCCAGCCGGAAGGCTGGGTGCTCCTTGAACACCTTGCGGTTCAGGTGCACACAGATGTCAGCTCTCATGTCCTTGGGACAGATCTGTAGAACCTGACCAAGCACAAGAAGAAAGACAGTGAGGATCCTCCCAGTGGCCTCTAACCCACTCCCCTCAGCATCCTCTAACCCACTTCCCTGGTAGGGTGAGCCACATGAAAGAACACTGCAGCAGAACTGCAGGCACAAAGGCTCTGAGGGGCCTGAGCAGCAGCCAACACGAATGATGAGCAAGGAGGAGGAGATGAGGTCCAGGGAAAATGTCGAGCCAAGCCAGGATTTTTTTCAAAGGAAATCTTCAGCCTTTGACTTTCTCTTCTGGTCGGGAAATACTGGAGGATTTTTGAGCAGGAGAATAAGCTTATTTATAGTTCAAGGGGACAATGCGGCTATAGAGCGGGGTCAGAGAACAAGGCTAGAGGGAGGTAAGAGCAGAGTCAAGAGCTCCACACAGACTACTTCTGCAGAACAAGGCGGGGAGGGGGAGGGGACCTTTGGAGTGCGGGCAGTGGAGCCAATGAGAAATGGGCAACTTCAGCTTATATAAATAAATAGGCAAATAAATAAATAAATACCATTTAAATGGATATGTAACAACTGTATTGCTTGAGGGATAGTGTGGTATTTTAATTTATGCATACCATATAATAATCAAATTGGGACCATCAGTATATCCATCCCCTCAAAAATTTATCATTCCTTTGTGCTAGGAACACTCAAAATACTTTCTTCTAACTATTCTGAAATAGATAATAAACTGGTTGTGAACAGGTACAAAATTACAATTACAAAGAAAGAACACATTCTAGTGTTCTGCAGCAGAGCAGCAGTGAAATTAGACCAGGGAATGTATTTTGAACTGAGGGGGGCTGATGGACTGATCACAAGTGTGATGTGAAGAGAGACGTGAAGGAACATTCCCTGAGGGCCGGCTGTGTGCCAGGCACTGCTCAGCCCTTTAAACCCATCATTCACTGAATGCCTGTTTCTGCACACTGCATGGCACACCAGCATCACTCCAAGCCCTGTGGATACAGCAGTGAAAACAGAAACAAACCAACACTGCTGTCCTCAGGCAACTTGCCATCTAGTGAAAGCAGATCATAGTAAGGAGAAAGAAAGAAAGTTCACTCTAAGTACTAAGGACAGTAAAGAAAGAAAGAAGGACAGAGAAAGTAAAGGAGGGTTGTGACTTTTATATTTTAAAATGCTGTATGAATTGACCCACGTCATCTCACCTAAGCCCTACAATGTAAGTAGCAGTAGTATTTCAGTTACAGATGAGCAAACTGAGGCATCAGGAAGATATATAACTTGCCCAGAGCTGTTACAGAAAACAGATCAAACACGGAAAGAAATGGCACTGAGAAGGTTGAGGAGGCTATTAATTTACACTGGTGGGCTTCACTGGGATCACTCCCAAAGAGTCAGCCCTGCCGGGCAGGGTTTTAGGACTTTTATAGGGAGGGCAAGTGGGGTAGTACAAAGGCGGATTTGGCACATTATGATTGGAGGGTTGGGTGACATCATGGGTTGCTAAGAGAGTTTAAGGATCTCAAGTTGTATTGCAAGGCCATCAGTTAAACAAGCATGAGTTACACAAAGGAAGAAGTATCCCATTACATTTGAAGTTACATTGCGAGGCCATCAGCTACACAAAGGCAGTAAAGACAGAGGTTTACACAAAGGAAGGAGTGTTCTATTATCAGGCTTGCTGGACATGTCCACTTGGTTTTGCCAGGCATCCTGGGTAGACTTTTATTTAAAGTTTTTAATTTCCTCCTCCACAGCCAGAATGTAGCACAAAATTAGGAAGCTTAATACTAGGTCCTTTATGTCCTAACAAAACAAATGTGCTCATAGTTTCTTTCTTTACTTGTAGCATTTTGAAAGCAAAGTGGGAACTGTGGAAGGTCATGTGGGTTTTGTCTCCCGAAGAAATTAAAAATTCCCCACCTTTTCTAGCAGTGGTAATTTTTCTCTGGACTAAATTTCTGCAAGAAACTATCACATGGCCCTTATATAGCAAGCATTAAAAAAACCAAAGGACACATTCAAGTGAACAAGTGAACTTTTTATGGAGAAAGCAGGGGTGTTTCTAACGTAGCCATTTCTCCCCCCTGGTCTGTGAACAAAGCAGGGAGCATAAAATCCATATGTGTGGCCAGTGCCTCCCGCAGGGCCTTTTCTGGGCTGCCTCTCGCCCTCAGCACAGCCATTTGCCCTGTGTCTGAGCTCATCCTGGACTCTGGGCTCCATCAGCTCCCCCAGCTCAAATCCTGCATTGCTCTTGCTTCCTGCACACCCATCCCCTCATCTCAGATGGCCCTGTGCCCCTGTGCATGGAGGCAGAGCAGGGGACAGAGGCCAAAAGATTGAAACCCCAGCTTCCTCCTGTGCCCGTGACTGCGTTGCTGTATAGCTCAGTTTCTCCCTGTAAAATACAGACTGCTAACATGAACCCATGAAGATTAAACGGGATTGCATCTACCAGTGCCCTGCCCAGGACAGTGCCTGGCCACAGCAGTGGGGCTTAGGAAATACTGTCCCCTCCTCCTGTGCCTCTGCATCTTGCTGTGGGCTTGCAGGATGAGGACGTAAGCATGGCATGGGTGGCTGCCGAGGCAGAGAGGAACTCAGAACGCTGAGGCTCGGGCAGAATGCTTGGCTGAGCACTTTCCTCCACAAGACTCATGACAAACAAGACTTCTGCAAGGCACAGATTTAATTTGTGTTTTCTTCTCTTCAAGCAGATCTCCAGGGACTGGGGAACATGTGTGTCATGTCAAAACTGTGCCTGATGGTTCAGAACCAAGATTTATTCTCCAGGAAAATTCACTTTTAAATATTTGGTTTCCCCTGAGTTGGGCTTTGCTGGTGGACGCTGCTAGTGACTGAGGCCTAGGCATGAAGCAATGTTTTATTCATGGGCGCTGATCCCAAGCCTACATACAGCACCACATGAGAAGGAAGGGACTCTGCAGAGGAAGAATTTCAGACTGCTGCAGCCATTAGGCATTTTCGTCTTTCTGGTCTACCAGTTCCACAGGTGGGGGAAGCACCCTCAACTCCTCTCTCAGAGGTGGGTCTGGGGTCTGAGTCCCCAGGGCCACCTTCCCTACTGCTTGGCTCTGAGGAGATACCATCATTATAGCCCTGAGGGCCTCCTTACAGGCCACCAGGAGATGTCGCCACGGACTCACAGCCTCTCCTGGTTGTGCAGGACAGGATCATGGCTAAAGGAGGGGCTTTAGGATGAGGCAGATCTGCATTCAGTACTGGCCTCAGCCTTCTCTGGAGATGTCAATGTGCAGCAATACTGTACTTAGTCAAGTTTTCAGTTTTGAACTTATGTGTAGGATTTCATGAGCTGTTGCACAGAAAGCCTGGCACCATGCCTGGCACAAACGAGTGCACAGTGTCTGTAAGTCCCAGTCCTTCAGGCTGTGATAGCAGCAGCAGGAGACAACCTAAGAGGAACTTTTGCAGTCTAGAAGGTTATAGCCAAGAGGGCCTTAGAAAAGTTTGTCTGGTCTTGAAGGTCATCTCGTTTGCATATGCTGTAAACTTGGAAACTGAGGGCCAGAGAGACAAATGATGTGCTCAAGATTGCCAGCTGATTTCTGGTAAATCAGCGGAGCCAAGTCCTACTATGCCTACTCTCTCACTTCCTTGCGCGTCACTGACCATTCTGACCTAAAATGGAGAGAAGGGGACAGCAGGGAGAGGCATAGGGCCACAAGACTGGTCCTTTCCCCAGCAGCTGTCTGCCACGGCCTCTGCCAGGAGGAGCAGCCATCCTGGCTAGGCTGGGCTCTGTAGTGAGTTACTACAGTCACATCTTTGATGATTCCCTCTTCCATTTGGACCAGGAACCAGGGAAAATTCCAATGCCCTATGGGAAGCAGGAAAAGGAAGGAGGGCAAATGCTGACTATGTTGTCTCCCATGGCAGCTGCCCAGCCAGCCCTACAGCCAGGGCAGGGAAAGGATTCTCTCCAGACAACCAGATTTACAAAAGCATCCTGATGCCTGGGAAAAGGAGCTCCAGGGCAGAGATCAAAGTTCCTTTCTGCTCCACCAGCTGCCAGGAACCCACAGAACCTACAGCCACTGATGAGAGAGCACAAACAATAGGCACGGCTGAGGGAGGTGGCAGGCAGAGCTAGGGACCAGCACAGCCCAATGACTCCTTGCCTGTCAGGGAAACTAGAACAACTTCATTTAGCTCACTTTCTTCCTCCCACTATGGGTTTTAAATTTCCTAAAAGGTGGTGGGGCAGGGCACAAATTTTGAAGTCAGACAAAAACAGAGTTCAAATCTTGGCTTTGTCATTCTTTACTCAGTTAGTAAAACAAATTGGGCTCTTGTCGTCATCCCCTCAAGAAAGATGGCAGCAACCTCTTCCCACACCTGTTATGAAGCCCTCACAAAGGGCAGCCACAGGGGAAGCCTAAGAGAAGCACTGTGTTCTTCATGCCTGCTCAGGGAACAGCAGCTGGTGCTGCGCAGGTGTGTCATGGTCATCACAGCTGAGAGCCAAGAAAACCACAGCAGGGTTCCTTCAAAGCTGAGGACCAGTGAAACGCAGTTTAGTTTTTTTGTGTGAATGGTTAACTCTCAACTCCCTGTTCTAACAGAGGAAAACAGGAATTTGGAGAGCTGACACCAAAGCCAGACGAATATGGATTTGAAGGTGCCTTGTGTAGGTGTTAACTTTCTGCTTTCCTAATTCTAACAGTGAAAGGAATCAGTATTCCCTGAGTATGTACAGACTGGTAATAAAGTGGGTTTGAAAAGACCAGACGGACAGAAAAACTGAACTGGGCTTACAATTTAGCTTTTAGAAAATATATAAAGAAGATAATTCATAAGTAATAGAAAGTCCATTGTATCTTTATTCATCCTAGAAGTACAGATGTTCCGCACTTGACCGAAATGCACCTGAGCAACACAAGTGTTAGAGAAGAGGGGGAAGTTGTCACACTCTTCACAAGTGGCAACACAGATGCCCACAGAACCAGGTCAATTGCCGAGGCACAGCCCTTCCTCCAGTGTTGCCTGATGAGTGAGGTCACCTGAACCCCGTTTGTCCCCACCCGCTACCCTCCTCAGTGCTCCTGTCAGAGACCTGGGACGATGGCCGGGACTGTTATCAGGATTGAAAGGAGGGGGAGATCACTGAGGCAAGAGCCTTGGGCACACAACTTAAGTGGATGACAAAGAAACTCAGTATCAAGAGGAAGCACATCAAACAACATATTTTTAAAATCAAAGTGTGTGCAAAAACCCACAATGAAGAAAGTATCAAAAGACTGAATAAAGACAAGGTCATGACAGTATATGCCACCTTGGACCTGGGCAAAGGGAAAAACCAGTGATGCTAATCGCCTCTCTCCTGTCACAGCCCTGATTCTTATCATTGTCCAGGTCTGGGAAATTCTGTCCTGGACAGTCAGATTTCCAGGTCCTCTCTTCTCCACGAGACATATTTTGCCTTTCCAATTTCTTAAATAATGACTACTAATAGCTGGCCTTTGAGTAAGGGTAATCTGGAAGCAATCAAAACCTCTGCAGGAAGGATCTGGGAATCCAAAACTACCACATGGATTCTGAGCCCGGCCGAGTCTGACAGCCTCAGCCCCAGCTTAAGGAAAGTGGAGAGAGACACGTGGTTCACCCGAGCCCCCCACATTCCTTACCTTCTCTGTGTCGATGCCTCTGGACATGGACCAGGTGGACACGATGTAGTCCATGACCCTCTCACTCAGGCCTTTGGGTACCTGGTAGAGCTTCAGAAAGTCACGAACGCTGTTGAGCATCTCATGGTACCTGTTGGTGTTGGCGTACATCTGTTGGAAAATGGTCGTCACATTCCCAAAGATGGTGGCATATAGAAGCGCTAGAGGTGAGGAGAGAGAGCAGGAGAAGAAACAAGACGTGAGTGGTCCCTAAGCCAGGATCCCAGATGGCTCAGCTTGCTCAGAACAGGCCAATGGGCAGCGCTGCCCCCTCCTGGTAAGACTGTCCCAACCTCCTCAGGAAAACTGTAGCAGTGGACCCAGAGAAAGTGTCCTAACGTCAGGGCGTGAGAGCAGACATGTGGGAGGTGGGGCCAGGGTGGATGAAAGCCCCTCCTCCCCGCACCCTGGCTCTGCCAGAGCTCTGACACAGGGGTGTTAGGGAAGCGGGCTGAGGGCTATGCTGTTTCACTTTCTATTTCTTTTTTTTTTTTTTTTTTTGGTTTTT